GCAGTGACAGGGGAGCCGGTTGGCAGGAGCCTGGAACTGGGCAGGGCTGGGCCCAGGCAGCAGCACAGGGCGTGGGCACCGTCCCAGGCAGCTGTGGCTATGCAAGGGGACAGGGCTGGCAGGCAGCTCAGCGAGGTAGTGCTGCCCATCGGGCTCACCTCCACAAGGAATGCCAGGAAGGACAGATCACAGCATGGCTCCTCCCTTCTGAGTGACTTGAGCAGGTTGAGTGCAATATGGGAACAGAAGGGGATCAAGCCACGGAGCATCTCCCTGTCAGGGGAAAACAGCACCAAGACCCTGATGGTGGAGGGGCGGGGGGACAAACCTCTCCCAGGAAAGAATCACAGAGATCTGGCCTTTCCCCAGAATCCCTGGAGGGACCATGGGTGCTTTGGGAAGTGGCTCCTTTTGGGCACCCTCCTCTCAGCCTTTTCCAGTCTGCTTAGTCATCCCTCAGTGACGAGGCCCTCTGGCCAGGACCACAGGGACTGTGTGACACACCCCAGGCACAGGGCACAGATTTCAGAGGCAGTTGGGAGAAGTGAGGCTCACCTGGCCAGCAGACCCACGGCATAGTGCTGGGTGTCAGCACAGAGCAGCGTGTCCCAGCCACGCTTGCGTCCCATTTCCATGACCACACTCTCACACCGCAGTCGGCAGAGCAGAGATTTCATGGCCTGCACTGCAAACCTGTGTGCAGAGCAAAGCCCAGGTCACACTGGGTACACTGGTCAGCCACAAGGGCATGGGAAGGACAGGAGGACTGGCACCTGTTGGGGTTGCTGGGAAGGCGGTGTTGCTCCCGGCATGTTTTCCAGAAGCTGTCAACTTCCACTGGTGGCATCTGCTGGGTGGTGATGACAACATGGAACAGCAGAGCCACAAACAGACGGGCGGAATAAAGCATCATCGCCTCGCAGCACTGTGGCATCTGGACAATCACCCAGAGCACCAGAGTTGCCTGCAAAAGAAGCACACCAAGGCAGTGCTCAGTGCCGAGGTGTCCATGGGGCAGGGCCTGAGGGGAGACACAGGGGGAGCAGCGGGCCTGGTGCCCCCTGAGCCTGCCCCTAGCCCAGGTTTCAGCCCAGCGCCTTAGGCAGGGAGAAGACAGAGAGCTCCTGGGGAAGCAAGCTCCAGGTGATCAAAGGCCATCTCCATAAACTCACACTCAAGGGAAAAACGTCCTTGTTGTCTCCATCAGAGGTGCAGGTGCTGCAAAGGGGCCAGTTCTCCATCACACAGAGCAGTGTTGGCAGCACTTTCTCTACTGTTGGTCCCGACGAGCCTATGGTTTGCCACATCATGGCAGCAGCTCTGTGGGATCAGAGCTCTGTGTCAGGGGTGTCTCAGTCACAGAGCCATGCCCTGTGTAGCTGTGGGGACCCAGGTGACAGAGCCCCAGTGCCCTGAGGGGCAGGGAGGGAGCATTGGCAGCAGCCTCAGGACACAGAGGGGCCCGAGGCTCCTGGACCTCTCTGCCTGTTGGGCAGAGCCCATTGGACAGGCTGTGCAGGGCCATGGGCCCTAAAGGCTGGTGAGCCCTGAGCTCTCAAGGCACGTGGGCCCCATACCTGTCACACGATGGGGCACAGTGCAGGAGGGCCAGCACCACATCAACAGGGTGTTCTTCAGCCAGCCTTATAATGTCAATTTGCTGCCTGGCATCAACAGTGACATGGGACACCAGACTCTGGTGAATGTTCCTCACAGTAGCTGGCACCTGGAGGAGGCATGGGGAAGACATGGAGTGCTGTCCAAGGCA